ATGATCAACAAATACTGCGAAAATCTCTTAATTGTAACTTCATTAATTTGTAACACCTGATGTGAAAATTGGCATAACCTACACACCCTGTGCGATACTTTTTTGAGATAGCATATTCTAGAAACTACTAGCATTTGTTCTGAAGTGTATATATTGATTATTGTGTCATGTGTTATAATCATCAATATTATTTCCTTAAACATTATTGCATAGTGGCGTAAATATTTAATATATTTGATGCGATTAGATGATTTGCACCATAGCAAAAAAGAATTTTCTGTTATGATTTTTTGCTTTTGGGTGACCACCATAGTTTATGTATATATTTTGCCTTATAATGAGTAGGTTTGATATCAGAATTATCACTAAAAATATAATTGAATCCATTGTGTGTGTTTTCTTGAGTTTCAGCTATTTCATTTGTTTGCTCATACATATCCTATGCAAAATATTAATATGGATTAGATATGCAAAGCTTTTTTGGCAACAAAATGGAATCAAGCTTACCATAATAAAATTTATTATATTAACAGCAAATTTGAGCTTTTTAATTTGCTGGAGCCTGGTGGAAGCTCAAACTTCGGTCCAGGAAATACTACATAGAAGCCCTCAACCAAATCTTCGATTAACATTTGGCCACTTGTGCCACATACCTGCACAAAGGGCACTTTGATATCTTTAGCTTGCTTATCGGTGAGGTTGAGATTTAGCAATCCATTCAAAATAGACTGATTAACTCTAGAAGACCTACAACGGTCACCAACAACCTTGTTAGGGATTACTTCTGACGCAAATTCCCATTCCCCTAAGTCTATTCCGGATGTTGATAGAAAGCGTAAATCACATTTTCGACCCTTGTTGTAGTCTTTGCTCTTGCTTAGTGGGCAAAAGGACTCGCCCCTTAAACCATGAATATAATATGCTTGTAAGAATAATATAATAGTTTGATCACAATGTTAACGAATATCTCGTGTCCAAGGTTTAAACGACTATATTAATTTGCCGGATATTTACTGCACCACTGCTATTGTTTAAAATATTTTTTTTGATTCATCGAAATTAGTGTGTTGTACATTTTATTGTTTACTATACCAGCTAATTGATGTCTAATATACTATAGGAATGTCCGGCATTTCAATATAGTCGTTTAATCCCTGCTCGTGTCTTTACTAACCATTTTTGATAAGTTCCAAAACCAGGGTTCAATCCTTCAATGATATATCCGAAAGCCTTCATAATGACATCAAGTTCTGTATGCGTATCTCCTGCATAGTCTAGGATATCAACTTTGTTCTTACTTCTATAAATGCTGTATAAGGGAGTGGAGGGTATTCTGGCGCGGGAGGTAATGTGACGCACTGAAGTTTTTTTAAAGTATCTCGTAATGCAATAACCAGAAACGAACGATTTTAACACCATTTAATTCGCCTTATCAAGACGAATCGAATGGTGTTAAAATCACTTTAATTAGAACTCTTGGAAACTCTTGGCCACAAGATTCAAGCAACGTTAATAAAAAAATTCTAAAAATTAACTAAAGTGTATTCGACACGCCCAGCGCCCCTTAAGAATCTGTAATTTATTATTTGTATTATTGATTAAATGTCGAACTCGGCCAATTATGCAGTATGTAGATATTACTATATTTGCAGTGCGCCGAAATACCCCACCTAGTAAAATAACGATTAAAAAATCGCTTTCAAAAAAGTCGCAATAAACAATTTTTTTTTAGTATTAATACCCTCTTTGTTTTTAATTATCAGATAGCCAAGTATAAAATTAGTTAATTAAATGAATTTTAAAATAAATATTAATTTATAAACTTTTAATTAGCAACGCAGCTTAGGTGCGCCAGAATACCCTCCACTCCCTTATATCAAATAATAAGAATTATAATCACAAAAAAAAAATTTAACAAAATAATTTACTTACAACTCGGAATATATCTTGCTGATTTTATACATATAGTTATTTTCTTCCGAATTTGTATGAGTTTCAATGCAAAACTTGTATGCACCGTTCACATCCCCCCTTAAGTATCATCTGTAGAAAAACAACGAATAAATATGCTTTTATATCAATGTAAATCCAGACCAAGATACATACGCTTTCAACTTTCGATATAAATGCATTTTCTTCTGCTTGCAACTGAGGAACTTTTAACAGATCAA